TTTAAACTTATGTAAGTATATCATGTTGTATCTATAGCTACATAATAGGTTAAAAGCTATATAAGTAAGCTATAAAGCTATGTATTTAAAATGTTGTCATATCGGGATAGAAATAGACAAACTAAGCAACAAAACACAAAAGAGGGCCTAGAACCAGCACATTGCACTTTTATTTGATAAACCTGGTATATCCAGTGGACTCCCACCTCCTCCCCGTCGCAGCACATGGCTTGTTTCCCAGCAGTACCTTTAACCACCTGCAGTCACCCCAGTTGATGGCGGTCTCTCCCATGCAGGAGAGCAGTGTGAACCTCATAACTTGCATGCCACCAGGGCTGCCTTTGCAAGTGCCATCACAAAAGTGTTCTGTAAACACCAAATGAATGAATGAAAAACTCAAGAAATGTGTATTTCTGGAGAATTTTCTGATGATTGGGAGTCTTCCTGCTGTGTGTATTCCAAAACTTTCCATGGGCCTAGAGAGGGCTGTGTACCCTATGTGGTGTTTTGGTGTCTTGCTGAACCGCCTCTCTGAGCTGTGCTTTGCCACCCTGGTACCAGCCTTCTTTTACCGGTGATCCTAACATAGTAAGGACCTTCCTCATTTAAATACACCTTGTATTTAAATGAGGATGCTGAGCTGGGAGGGAGGTGCACACCTGTAATCCCAGTACTTGGGAGACGGAGGCAGGCTGCTGGGATGAGCCCAGGAGTTTGAGGCCAGCCTGGGCAACACAGCCAGTACCTTTCTTTTCGCAAAGACTCACTGGAAAATTGTCCTTTAGGGTAGTAGTGTTTTAAAGGATGGATTGTTTCTCTTTTGTGAATACTGAGTCAGTTGAACATGTTTCTTTCTCTACTTTGGCTTAGGAAACTCAGAGTCAAAATTCTAGCTCCTAGGGAAGATCATGTCTGTGAGCTGTTACCCGCCTACACCAATTTTAATTTCTTATCTATCTTCTTTACCCTGAGTACCTCAATTATTTATTTTGTAAAAGTTTCTTCTTTCTTGAAGCAACTCTCCTTGTATAAATATCCAATCTTGTTGCTTACAAGTTCTATCTTCTGCAAAACACTAGAAAACAAACACAGTTCGGCCAAGTTCTTTGCCACGTCATGACAAGCATCACTTTTTCTGTGGTTTCTGATAACTTATTCCTTATTTCCATCTGGTACCTCATTAGAATGGTTTGGCCTTTTGTGTTTCCACAGTCTATTCTTGATCATTTACGTATTCTCTAAATTCTTCTTTTATTCTGAGCACTTACCAAATTACTTTTAAAGCTCCATACACAGGGTTGGGGCTGTAGCTCAGTGGCACAGTGCTTGCGTAGCGTGCTTGAGGCACTGAGCTGGATCCTCAGCACCACATATAAATAAATAAATAAAATAAAGGCCTTCTGTGCATCTACAACTATAAAATTTTTTAAAAAACAAATAAATAAATAAAAGTGGAGCTGGGGTTGTGGCTCAGTGGTAGAGCACTTGCCTGGCATGCGTAAAGCACTGGGTTCGATCCCAGGCACCACATACAAAAATAAATAAATAAAACAAATAAAATAAAGGTATTATGTCCATATACAACTAAAAAAATATTTTAAAATATAAGCCAATAAAAGCTCCATACACAGTAACACTGTATCAATTTCTAGCCTGCACTTCAAAGCTCTTGCAGCCTCTACTAACTGCCCAATTCCAGGGCTCCTTCCACACTTTCATGCACTTGCTATAGCAACAACCCACTTCTTGGGACCCATCTGTATTTTTTTTTTTTTCTGTGATACTGAGAATTGAACCCAGGCATACCACTGACCTACATCCGAGCCCTTTCTATTTTTATTTTGAGATAGGGTCTTGCTAAGCTGCCCAAGCTGACCTCAAATTTGCAGTCTTCCTGCCTCGGCCTCCTGAGTTGCTGCAACTACAGATGTGCGCCACCATACCTGGCCTGTTGCCTTATTCATTTTTATTTGGCTGATTGGCTGTTTTTATGTTTGTTTTTGTTTTTGTTTTGCTTTGCTTTGTACTAGGGGTTGAACCCAGAAGCTATTTTCGCTGAACTACATCCCCAGTCCTTTTATTTTTTATTTTGACATGGGGTCTCAATAAGTTGCTTAGGGCCTTGCTAAGTTGCTGGGGCTGGCCTTGACCTTGAGATCCTTCTGCCTCAGCCGCCTGAACTTCTGAAATTACAGGCATGTGCCACTGTGCCCAGCACGATTTTTGTCTTCATTGTTTTGTGACCCTATGACAAGTCGACATAGAGTGGTTTAAAAGACACAACAAACATTTATTTCTCAGAGTCCTGGAGGCTAGGAAGTCAATCTAGTGCTGATGAGAAGCCTTTCCTACTTTGCAGTCACCTTTTCACTGTGTCTGTTTTATAAGGATACAGTCCCATTCACATGGACTCCATACCCGTCGGCACTCATCTCCTAAAGGCCCTGCCTCCTAATATCTTCATCCTAGGGTTAGATTTCAACATGTGAATGTGGAGGGGACACAGACACTCGGTCTATATGTCTATATGACACATGAGCTAGGCAGCTCACGTGTATTACCCCCTTAGTCTTCACAGCAAGCCATGAGATCAGGAAGTAGGCTCTGCTTTGCGAAGTAGAAACTGAGTTTGCCAAGTCTAACTCCTTATTCAAGGCCACAGGGCCAGCCAGTGAAGAGTTGGGAAGCAAGTTCTGTTCCACAAACCTGGTCCCTGTGTCACCATGTCAGCATTCAGCCACCAGCCCTGTGGTAGCTCACAGGCTAACACCTCTCTCTCCTTGGAGCATGGGGTGTCGCAGCAGGGTCCCGCTCCCTGGCAGCACAAGTGAGATGCCCCTAGGTAGCATTCCCAAGCAGCTAGACAAGAATCACCATGGGGTGGGGGTGGGGGCAGTCGCCTACATTGTAAGAAGTGACCCGAGGGTCACTCAGGCTTCTTTAAGTCCAAGAATCCCTGTACTAGCTAGAGTCATGAACTCTGTTGGGACACTGCACACATTCTTTTCTTTTTAACATTTATCTTTTAGTTATGGGTAAACACAATGTCTTTATTTTACTTTATATGGTGCTGAGGATCAAACCCTCCTCACGCAGGCTAGGCAAGCGCTCTACCTCTGATCCACAACCTCAGCCCTACACACACCTTTTCTCACAATTTTCCCTAACCAAACAGGTGTTACTCTGAACTTCAAGTCTGCCATGTGGCTGACCTTGCTTGTGTGAGATACACTTGTGCTTTTATTCCTAATCATGCTTCTTGTATCATCTTTGGTTAATTTCCTTGAAGACATTGCTTCCCAGAGAACCAGTATTTTTTAGCTTGACAAAGAGGAGTGTTAAGGAGAGAGACCTTCTGTGCTGCGCTGTCACACAGAAAGGGTGACCTTTGTCCTGTGAAGTTCTAGAATGTAGAGCCACAGTGATGGCGCATGGTGAAAAGAGGGGGTTTTGCATACTTCCACAGTCTGCACAAGAAGCATATGTTCACCTGGAGGCCCAGGGCACTCTGCTGCCCTCAAGCTGCTCTCAGAGGGAAAGACCAGTGTGAACACTCAAAGCGTCTCAGAGGGGAGGCAGCAGAACCTCCCCAGGAGAAGCCCTGGCCTGAGCCTTAATGAAAACACAGAGGTGTAGAGCTGCAGGTGGACGGGTGTCCCAGGCCACTGAGCATGGAGAAACATGAGAGTGAGGACTGTAGGACTGGGAATGGCTGGCTACCTGAGCATGTGAGCCAGGCAGACTCCTGTGGAGGTCACCCGAAGCCACCAGCTGTGAACTGTGTGTAAGCAAGGACTTGGGGCTTGCTCCATTTTCTCCCGGTTCACATCCGACTGGCCTCCAGCTTTTACTGTCAGGGGCTGATGGATCCAGAAGTTAAAACTGGAAATTGGGGAGCATCATTAGTGCTGTTTGCAGGGAGTTTTCATAGGGGGTTTCATGAGCCCTGTGGTGGCTTGCAGCTAACAGCTCTCTCTCCTTGGAGTATGGAGGGTCCCAGCTCCCTGGCAGCACAAGTGAGGTGCCCCAGAGCTGCAGCGCCACCTGTGGCCTGACTGGGCCTGTCTGGTTGTTGCAGTGCAAGCGACCTGGATGGCCTATGACATGGTGGTAATGCGTACCAACCCCACTCTGGCGGAGTCCATGCGCCGGCTAGAAGACGCCTTCCTCAACTGCAAGGAGGAGATGGAGAAGAACTGGCAGGAGCTGCTCAGTGAGACCAAGCGCAAGCAGTAGGCCCCGCTGCCCATCCATGCTGCCATCCATCATGCACTGGAGCCACAGAGACGGGCCAGTGACCCAGATAAATAGCTGTGTGCACAGCACTTGTTTTTCAATAAACTTATTTTTAAGCACAACCTGAGGACCCTTTCTGTGCTGTGCTGTGATCCACTCAGCCATCTGCCATATTTTGTGAACTAAGCAAGACAAGGGTAGGATGCAGATGCTTTCAATGGGTGGGACGTATATTTGGTGCAGTTGTGTTGAGCCTAAGAAAAAAGAGCCAGACAGGGGCAAGCCAAGTCAGTGCTGGGATAGGCAGCAGCACTCAATCGGATTTATTTACCTGCCTCATGTGGATTTTGAAGTGGGTAGGGAGAGAAAGCATTCATTTCTCATGCTGTGTACCCCAGGTACTGTGCCAGGTAGCCCACTGACGATCACATTCTCTCGGCTCTCCTGAGAGACAGGTGTCCATTATGCCTCTTTTACAGAAAAGGTGAAAATGGGAGGTTAAATGTATTGTTTTGAGTCCACATAACTAAAAAGGGGTTCATTTAGAGGGAAGTCTGGGGGAAGGGGATGGGAGCCTGGCAGGGCACAGAGACCTGCAAGTTGCAGAGGAGCCGAGTAGTCCCGTCAGGTCTAGGCAGGGCCGTGTGCAGGGCTCCACACCCAGTCAGACTCAGGAGGAAAGAGTCAAAAGGCTCTCAAAGGCAGAAGCTCCAGAGGCAAGGGCATCTCCCGGGGACCTCTTTGCCTCCACTTCCACCTGACAGAATACAGGGAGCACAAATAAGCTTTCATCCCTCTCCTTCTTTAGCTCTGGGCCCAGGAGTTTCCCAGGAAGATGGGAGCCTGGGAGCAAGCTGAGGCATCCAAAGCAGGTAAGGACCAGGGGCAGGATCCAGCATGGTGTGGGGAGGGTAAGAAGGGAGGTGGAAGGGCTCTCACTCCAGAATAAGTGGCAACCTTTACAGCAGGAGACAAACATAGAAGGAAAGGTGTCCCAGAAACTGGAGCAGAAGGTCCTGACCCCAGCCCCGTCTCCACGCCCCACACCCCCTCAGACTACCCCAGATGAAAGGTGTCCCTGGACTACAGTTCTCCACTGGCATCAGAGTGAGGTCTGCAGCCGGGCCGCAGTGGGCAGAGTCAGGATGAATGGACAGAGGATCCCCTTATTCCCCAGGGGAAAGGGCTGCAGCTCCTTGGCCTGAAACTGCGCAGTCCCCTCAGAGACTGCAAAGGTGGCTGTGACCTGGTGGTTGAGACAGTAAATGGTGTTGCCCAACACAGTACAACGGAGTGGGATGGCCTCAGGCAGTGGCAGGGAGGCAGCACGGCTCCAGGAACCCGTCACCGTGTTGTAGCGCATCACTGCAGCGCCCACACCCCGCAGCAGGTCGAAGCGGTACAGGAAGCCCCCTAGTGCCACCATGTCACTGGAGCGCCGGTGGCTGGCACTGTAGGGGCACTCATCCCATGAGTCCTTCACAGGACTGTATCTAAGCAGGCGGTAGAAGAGGTGACCTCCTGTGACATAGATGTCCCCACGGCAGGCCACAGCCTCATGGGCCACAGGGAAGGTGCCTGCAGGGAGGGGAGCACGTAAGGTCCACGCATCTGTGCGTGGGTCGTAGCGCTCCATGCTGTATAGGCACTCGCCTCCAATAGCATACAGCAGCCCGTCCAGGGCCACCAGCTTGAGCTGGGCTCTGGCTTGCTGCATGGGCCGAACCTGGCTCCAGATGTTGGTCAGAGGGTTGTAGCAAAAGACCTCTTTGGAGCAGACAGCCTTGGCACCAGAGCCACGGATGCCGCCTGCAAGGAACAGGTAGTTGTGCATGGTGCAGAGACCACAGCCCCGGAGGGGGGCTTCCTCCGGCACCTGGGTCAGGGGCCGCCAAACGTTCTCTTGAGGGTTGAACACATGGAGGAACGTTCGATGAGGCAGGGGTGCAGTCTGAGCTTCAGGAGATTCCTCACCACGAGAGCTCTTCTTGAACCCAGAACGGCACACCTGGTAGAGTCTGGGCAGTACAAGGACCCCCAGCATGGCCTGACCCTGGCCCGTCCGCAGGCTAAGGATGCGCTCCCGATCAGCCCCACTCAGCTGCCGGTAGAGGTGCGGGTCGCCCAGCACGTGCAGCAGGTTGCTGCTCATCAAGGCATAGGTCTCCTGGGCTAGGCCACGCTCCCCATGCTGCTGGGCAAAGGCCAGCACCTCCAGGCAGCTGCCCAGGTCTAGCCGCTGGGGACGTTGAACAGCTGTGGCAGCCTCCAAGGCCCACAAGTGGGGCTTCTGGGATCCCTTGACCATCCCCCAACTCCCAGGCCTCTGCAGAAAAACCATGAGTTTTTGGGCCTCTTTCTGCTTCTCTGTGAGGACTCCCCTGCGGCCTGCAGAGCTGGCCTCCTCCCTGAGCACTTGACCCTGGTGCTGCCCTGGGGCCACCTGGCTGACCAGATGCTCAGAGCTCAGGGCTATTTCACACATGCTGTGTTTCCGTGGTCTGGGGATATGCTGAGCATCCCACCTCATAGCAGAGGGTGGTGCAGAGCCAGACGGCATCTGCACAGAGGGCTCTGTGTGTCCCCCAGGAACTTCAGCTGAGGGCAGTGAGTCCAGACTTTTCTCCTTGGTTCTGTTTTCTTTGGGGCCTAGAGGTGGGCCAGGGGTGGGCTTCCCATGGGTTTCAAAGCCCACTGGCTGCGCCTGACATGGAGTCTTGGCCAGTCCTCCCACCTGTGTGACAATCCCCAAAGAAGATGGGTGCCTGTTCTGGAGGTTGGGGATTTCCCCTTCAGATTGGGAAGCCCCTGGTCTGTGTTCAGAATGGGTAAAAGAGCTGGGACCTGCCGGGCTCACAGGGACTGCCCCTAGGGCGCATCCTTTGGGCTTCTCTGGCCTGGGAAAGGGGTGGCTTCTAAGAACCATGGCAATAAGGTTTCCCCAGCTACTTGTAATCTGCCCTTCGTGGTAGCTCCTGGAGAGACCCACTTTGGACTCTCCAGCCGCAGGGCTTGACCCACTAGCTAAGGCAGGGGCTGGGAGTAAGGTTGGTGATGGGGATGGGCCTGGGGTTGAGGCTGCCGCTGAGGCTGGGATTGAGGCCGGGGCTAAGGCTGTGGGCGGAGCTGAGGCTGCGGATGCGGCTGGTGATGGGTTTGTCCCTGGGAGTGGGGCTCTGGAAGGAGAAGGGGCTAGCATTACTGTTGGAGCTGAAGTGGAAACTTGCTCTGATGAGGAGGCTGGCGCCGCGCTGACATTTCCACCCTCAGAAGGGTCCTGGCTGACTCCGTGGGGCAGAGAG